TCATCTTCTGTGATAGCCTCGCTCCCCTTCCCGGCAGACCCAGCCCTCCCAGCCCCTCCTTGCTTCCCTGTCCGTCCTGGGTGTGTCCCAGGCTAGCAGGCCCTGTATCCGTGTGTCCCAGCAGTTCTCGGTTCTCTATTTATGAAACAGCTTCACTGAGACATAGTCACCATAGTCCACGATTCACCCACTGAGAGCGCACAACCCCGTGGCTTTTACTATATTCACAGGTGTGTGCAGCCGTCGCCACGGTCAGTTTAGAGCATGTTTATCGTCTCAGAAAGGAACCCCTGCCGGGCCGGCGTGGCTCAGGTGGTTGAGCCTGAGCTTGTGCACCAGGAGGTCACTGGTTCGACTCCGGTCCGGGCACAGGCCCAGGTTGCCGGCTCGATCCCTGGTAGGGGATGTGCAGGAGGCAGCTGATGGATGCTGTGTCTCTCTCATCAATGTTTCTATCTCTCTAACCCTCTCCCTTCCTCTCTCTAAAGAAATCAATTAAAAAATATTTTTAAAATCCCACAAAGTAGTTTTAAAGAACATGAACCCCTTACCTTCAGCCATCATCCCCCTATACCTCTGTGCTCCCCTAGTCCCAGGCAACCGGGGGTCTACTTTTGGTCCCTAGAGTGGCCTCGTCTGGACATTTCCTGTAGGTGGAATCATATGACGTCCTCTTCGTGACTAGCGTAATGTTTCCAATGTCACGGCAATTCCTGAGGTGGGTGCCGTCCCCCCACTTAGCAGACCAGGAAGCTGTCCGGGCTTCAGAAGGAGGCCTGAGCCCCCTTGTTGGCAGCATTCGAACAGAGAGAGAGAGGAGAGGAAAGAGCTCCTTGCTCCGGGGTGGATGGTATGATATTAGCGGGCGATGGAGAAGGCACAGTCCCTTCCGTCCATCTGGCTTCTGGCTTCTCCATGGAGCAGCATGACTTCGGGAACGTGCAGGGAGCAGCAGAGGAGGGAGCCAAGCCTGCGGCATGGAGACGACTTTTGTGGTGACTGAGCAGGACCTTAGGTCTGGTTTTGTTCACCTGCCAGGACTGAGCTCCCTTTCTGTGCCAGGCACTGGCCAGGCTGGGTGGCGGGGTGCACAGGCCTGGCCCTGCAGGGACGGGGTGGGGGTGGGGGTGCAGGAGAGGGCTAGGATGACACAGCCAGTGGGGGGCAGCTGACCTGGTGGCTAAGAGTGCAGCCCCCCAGCAGGGCATGGAAGGCACTTGGCGTCCTGCTCCAGGGTCCCCCCACTTCCGATCTCTTCCAAGGAGATAGACCCTTAGAAATCGCCTCCCTCCCTCTCTCTGCTCCTCTGGTCCCCCGTCCCCCGGTACCCATCTCTTTGCCACGAGACCTTTGAAAGGCTCTACCTCCCCGCTTCCCCCAGTCCCACTCCGGCTTCAGTCTGTACCACAGGTCTCTACAGAGCCTGGAAATCACACTTCACAGTTTGTCTCCATCCATTTGGGTTTAATGCCTCGTCTCTTGTTCCTGTTAATCTGTTTGTCTGTCTACTGCACTATCCGTCCACCCATCCGTCCATTGCCTCCCTCCCTCCCCGTCTCTCCCTCCTTCCCTGCGGCATGCATCCGCCCACCTCTCCAACCTTTGCCAAGTCTGTTGCCCACTATTGCCCACTCCTCTGTGCTCCCCTAACTGCGAGGCCTGCTTGTTTGGCTAAAGCCCTGCGTGAGGCGAGTCATGGGGATGCAGCTCATCTCTGATCCTCAGAGGGCCCGTTTCTGACCGCCGGTCATCACCCTCAGCCTTCTTCCCGCTCTGCTTCTCTGAACTCAGGCACGTAAATGTCCCAACACATCTTCTCTCTTCATTTATTTGTTTATTTTCCGCCTTCCCCACCTGAATGTTAAGCTCGCTGAGGGCAGATACTTTTATTGACTTTTTTATATCTCCAGTGCCCGAGACAGTGTTTGGACCAGCGTTGGTGTTTGACAAATAGTTGTTGAATGAATTATATTTTGCATATCTTCAGGTATCGTCCTGTCTTTTGCCCTGACAAGTGGGCGGCACCTTGGCTGGGAACAGGGCTCGCGAGCTGCAGTCCTTTCCTTGCCTGGACTCCAGCTCCAGTTCCTCCTCCGCCGGGCCCTGGTTTCCCAGGCTGCAGATGAGAAGTCTGTGGTCAGTGCTTCCCTCTACACTTGGTGCACACCCCAATTTGTGCAATATCCTACCTGTGCTTGTTTGTTTCCCCTGCAATCTTGTTGCTTTACCTTTGAGCCCCTGGCAAATGCCTCATGCACAATATTTGTTGTGTAAATATACGGGTGAACGGATCCATGGATGATGGATAGATGAAGGAAGAAAGGACTTCAAGACTGAGAAGGCACCTGATGTATTTATCACAACTCTTGAAATGTCAGTGATAGGGATGTTCTAGATCGGTGGTTCTCAAGGTGGGGTCCCAGGCCAATAGTATCAGCTCCACCTGGCAGCTTGTTAGAGATGCAAATTTGGGGCTCCACCCCAAATCTAGTTAATCAGAAACTCTAGGGTGGAGCCCAGCTCTCTGTGTTTTTTAAAAAAATATTTTTTATTGATTTTAGAGAGAGGAAGGGAGAGGGAGAGAGAGAGAAACATCAGTGAGAGAGAGCAACATCTATTGGCTGCCTCTTGCACGCCCCCTACTGGGGATCGAGCCTACAACCCCGTTTCACTGGGCATGTTCCTGACCAGGAATTGAACTGGTGACCCTTGGGTGCATGGGATCATGATGCTCAACCAACTGAGCCACACCAGCCAGGGCCCAGCTGTCTGTGTTTTAACAAGCCCTCTGGGTGATTCTGATGCATGATCCATTTTGAGAGCCACTGCTGTGGACCGATCTCATCTCATAGATGGGAAAACTGAGGCTGGGAGCATGGAAGTGATCTGTCTGAACTCACTGGACTGGTGCCCAGGGCCCCATAGCTGCAGCCTGTGACCCTGCCACCCCAGCCACCTGCCTCACCTCCTCTTGCTCCATCTCTTTGTAATCAGAACGAACCATGTATTTGTCTCGAGATTTCAAAGCACTGTGATTGAATCTCCACTCTTACAAAGTTTCTGATTTCACTGGGGGTTTTCCAGGATTTAAGAAAATGTGACTTCGAGTGGTTTCTATAGCGCTTTGGGCACAGGCAGGGAGCCAGGCGGTTGCATTACTGCTCGCGGAGCTCCTTGGGCTGGGCTGTAATGCTATAGCTCCCTGCTAGGCCCCCCGCACTCACGCCGCGAGGCACGTCACACACGGGCCCGTCTCCCCCACCCGTGGGAGAGACGTGCGAATGGCGGTCACAGTCGGCCCGCGAGAGGGATTAGGAGCTTTGATGTCCATCGAGGTCCCGTGATCACTGTGTTTTTCTTGCTGATTTCTTCATTTGTTACAAGTTTCTAATTGATGTATTTTGTACATTCTTTATCAGTCTTTTTCTTACATGCGTATTTTTTGTTTGTTTTTATTTTTTGGCCCAAAACCAAAAACCATCAGAGAAAATTTCCCTCTTCACCTCATGCAGCGTAGACCCTCCTTCTCCATGTCACCACCATAGAGACCTAACCTGTCATTAAAAAGCAAACTTTCTATTTTAGCAAAGGTTTAGACTTACGGAAGAGTTGTGAAGACAGTACCGTGAGTTCCTGTATGCCTGTATGCCCCTTGCCTTTATTCTTTTTTTAAAATATGTTTTTATTGATTTTAGAGAGAGAGGAAGGGAAAGGGAGAGAGAGAGAAACATTGACTGGCTGCCTGCTGCAAGCTGGGCGTGTGCCCTGACCGGGAATCGAACCGGCAACCTCGCGGTGCGCAGGATGACGCCCAACCAACTGAGCCACACTGGCCAGGGCTCACCTTTATTCTTTAGAGAACAGGCTTTTAGGTTAGAGAACTGAGATTTCTGAGCAGAACAGTGACGCTCTTGGATGGATCCTCTTGGGGGAGAAGCTTCTAGAGGCCTGCTGTTGGACCCGCCAGTCTGTTGACTGTCATTTGTCAGGCCCTGGGATGTGCAGGGGGTGGGTGCAGTGATACAAACAGCACAGTGCTGTCTTCTAGTTTCAGCTTATCAGGCCAATGGTAGAATTTATTGTGTATATGTTATTTTTAATTGTGGTAAAATACACGTGACAAAATGTACCAACCTGATCATTTTTAAGCACACGGTTGAGACCGTTAAGTCCATTCACATTGTGCTATTAATCTCCAGAACTCTGTCACCTTGCAGACCCCGTACCCATTAAACAGCAGCTCCCCACGCCCTCCTTGATCCCCCCTTTATGAATCTAACTGCTCATGGAAGTGGAATCATACAGATCTGTCCTGTTCCACTTGGCATAGTGTCCTGTCCTCGAGGTTCGTCCCTGTGGCTGCACGTGTCAGTGCCCTTCCACCCTAAGGATGGCCGACCGTGAGGACAGACTGCGTTTTGTTCATCCAGCCGTCTGCTGGTGGGCACTGGGCGAGCTTCTGCCTTTTGGCTACCGCGGAGAATGCTCCATGGACATGAGTGTAGAAGTTTCCCTTTGTGTCCTTGCTTTCAGTGCTTTTGGGTATATGCCCAGAGGGTGGAATTGCTGGCACCCAGAAATGCTTTTTATTTTTTTGAGAAACTGCCATACTGTTTTCCACAGTGCCTGCGCCACTTGACATTCACATCGAAGTGCACAAGGGTCCCAATTTCTCCACATCTTGCCACCAGTATTACCCCCCCAGCCCCCCAGCCACCCTGGTTGGGCAGTTTCCTACTGAGCAAAGCTCTGAAATCCTTTCATTTGTTTTCTTTGGCGAAATGTCTCTTGGAGTCCTTTGCTCGTTTTTTTTTTTTCAGTTGGATTGTATTTTCTGTTGCTGTTAGAGTGCAGTTCTTTGTCGATTCTTGGATACTCACTGGGCAGATGTGCTTTATCAGTATTTGACGGTGTCCTCTGATGTACGAGTTTTTCTTCTTCGTTGTTTTGATGTTGCCCAATTCATCTATTTTTACTTTTGTTCCCTAGCTTTTGGGGTCACAGTCAATAAATCCTTGCCAAGTCCAACATCGTAAAGGTTTCCCCCTGTGCTTTCTCCTAAGAGTACTATAGCTTTAGGTTTCGCGTCTAAGTCTTTGGCTCATTTTGAGTTAATTTCTGCGGACAGTGAAAGGTAAGGGTCCAGCTTCATTCTTTCTCACCATCCTTTGTTGAAATGACTGTCCTTTCTCCATTGACTGGTCTTGTCACCCTGTCAAAAATCACGTGACCACATATGTGCGGCTTTAATATAATTTATTTCCAAATGATATCCATGAATAGTAATACTTATATGTGGTCTCTCCCCCCAAATTTAGGTAGTATCACCCTGTTTGCTGTCATCACCATCATCCTGGGGTGCCTCAAAGTTGGGTACTTCATTGGATTCTCTGAATGTCTATCAGCCACCGAGGGCGTGTTCCCTGTCACACACGCAGTCCACACGCTGGTGCAGGTAACCCCACTGTTTATTCAGGTCGTCTCTGTATCCAGGGTGAATGAGGTGGGGCTCGTGCAGCATGAGGGGGCCTCGAGTCCACCTCTGAGGCTCCGTCCCTAAGCTGCCTCCGTGTGAAATGGGACCGTGTCCCTCGGCCATCTTTGCAGGCATCCTATGGGGCAGAACTGGTACTGACCAGGAGTCGGGAAATTTTGCCAAGCCAGTCTCCGCCAGAAAAGGCTGGGGGCAATTTTAACAGAACAGTTTTTTTTTTTTTAATTTGTTTTGATTGATTTCAGAGAGAGGGAGAGAGAAGGAGAGAGAGATAGAAACATCAATGATGAGAGAGAGTCATTGATCGGCTGCCTCCTGCAGGCCCCCTGCTGGGGATCGGCCCCAAACCCGGCATGTGCCCTGACCGGGAATCGAACCCTGATCTCCTGGGTCATGGGTGTCAGACGCTCAACCACTGAGCCACGCCGGCTGGGCCAGAGCAGTTTTATTGAGGTATGATTCACATGCCGTACAAGTCACCCATCGAAAGGGTACATTTTAGGGTGTAGTGTGTGCAGCCAGTGCCACGGCCTGCTTTAGAACACTCCCATCACCCCCAAGAGAAACCCGGCCCTCACAGTCACACCTCCGGGTCGTTGGAACACTTCTATTTTGTTTGTCTACTTGTCAATTCAAATCTTTTAGAAATGTGTGAGAGGCTCTTTCTTGGCGTTGGTCAGCTGGGTGTGGCTCAGAAGTAAGGATTTGATGTAAACAATTTAAATATATAGCTCAGAATCAGAAAAATCTCATGCTGGAAAAGGAGCTTAGAGGGGCCGCTAGTGTGGCTTCCTTCCATCCTGAGCAGAAACCCCAGGTGTGGCTACCCGAGTTTTACAGCTTCTGAAGTGTGCACACATAGCGACCGTTTCCCGCTGACGCACCCTTCTCTTTATTTTCGTCTAGGTGTATTTTCTTTGGGGCCATGCAAAGGACATCATCCAGTCATTCAAAACCCTGGAAAGGTAAACACCGTGGGCCAGTGCTTGACATGTTGAACTTGGGGTTCCTTTATACAAAACAGAACTTGCCAGTGCCATCTTGCTTGGGTTGCGAATCTGAGACCAACACTCCCCTCCATCCTGACAAGCAAAGCCTTCCCTCGTGGCTGGAGAGGAGGCCCTCTGACTTTCAGTCCCTTCCTGGGAACAGCTCTGCAAGTACAATGATGTGGGTTTGAATTTCCACTCCACCTTCTTAGATATTTCCCCTTCATGACCCTCAGTCTTCCTCATCTCTAAAATGGACAGAATAGCTTAGGCAGCCTCTCGGGACTGAATGAGGTAATTGACGTAGAGCCTGGGCCGGCACACACAAGTAAGGACTCAGTAGGTGTTGGGTCTGTTATTACCTCCCCCCCCCCCCCC